CATCAGCAGTAGGAATAATTGTCTTTGACATCAGCAGTGAGAACAATTGTCTTTGACATCAGCAGTAAGTTCAGTTGTCTTTGACATCAGTAGTAACAATAATTGTCTTTGACATCAGCAGTAGGAACCAATGTCTTTGACATCAGTAGTAACAATAATTGTCTTTGACATCAGCAGTAGGAACCATTGTCTTTGCCATCAGCAGTAGGAATAATTGTCTTTGACATCAGCAGTAACAATAATTGTCTTTGACATCAGCAGTAAGAACAATTGTCTTTGACATCAACAGTAATTGTCTTTGACATCAGTTGTCTTTGACATCAGTAGTAACAATAATTGTCTTTTGAACAATTTGTCTTTGACATCAGCAGAAGGAACAATTGTCTTTGACATCAGCAGTAAGAACAATTGTCTTTGACATCAGCAGTAAGAACAATTGTCTTTGACATCAGCAGTAGGAACCATTGTCTTTGACATCAGCAGTAGGAATAATTGTCTTTGACATCAGCAGTGAGAACAATTGTCTTTGACATCAGCAGTAAGTTCAGTTGTCTTTGACATCAGTAGTAACAATAATTGTCTTTGACATCAGCAGTAGGAACCAATGTCTTTGACATCAGTAGTAACAATAATTGTCTTTGACATCAGCAGTAGGAACCATTGTCTTTGCCATCAGCAGTAGGAACAATTGTCTTTGACATCAGCAGTAGGAACAATTGTCTTCAACATCAGCAGTAGGAACAATTGTCTTCAACATCAGCAGTAAGAACAATTGTCTTTGACATCAGTAGTAACAATAATTGTCTTTGACATCAGCAGTAGGAACCATTGTCTTTGACATCAGTAGTAACAATAATTGTCTTTGACATCAGCAGTAGGAACAATTGTCTTTGACATCAGTAGTAACAACAATTGTCTTTGACATCAGCAGTAAGTTCAGTTGTCTTTGACATCAGTAGTAACAATAATTGTTTTTGACATCAGCAGTAGGAACAATTGTCTTCGACATTAGTAGTAGGAACAATTGTCTTTGACTTTAGTAGTAACAATAATTGTTTTTGACATCAGCAGTAGGAACAATTGTCTTTGACATCAGCAGTAGGAATAATTTTCTTCGACATCAGCAGTAGTAACAATAGTTGTCTTTGATATCAGTAATAACAATAATTGTGGTTGACATCAACAGTAGGAACAATAATTGTCTTTGACATCCACAGTAGGAACAATGTCTTTGACATCAGTAGTAACAATGTCTTCGACATCAGCAGTAGGAACAATTGTCGTTGAGATCAGCAGCAGGAACCATTGTCTTTGACATCATTAATAACAATAATTGTCTTTGATATCAGCAGTAGGGACAATTGTCTTTGACATCAGCAGTAGGAACAATTGTCTTCGACATAAGCAGTAGAAACAATAATTGTCTTTGATATCAGCAGTAGGAGCAATAGTCTTTGACATCAGTAGTAACAATAATTGGCCTTAACGTCGGTAATAACAACAATTATCTTCGACATCAGTGGTGAGAACAATTAAATAAGAAAATAGTGGTAAGAACAATTGACCGGTACGACATTGACAATGATTGACAAGGACATCATTGACTGTGACAACAGTATTGAGATGTTTTGTTCCTGTGCCCCTATGCCCACTGCGTGAGAACACCCTATGTCCCCGTAGTATGATTATCTGAATTGTGTATGAAAAGTGTCAGCAACGCATGATAATAATGAAAGGATGACTGTTTAGAAAGCATCTTGTGGCTAGGGAAATCTCTTTCATGCCATAACAATTACACAAAGGCGATGAAAATGAAATAACGTCATCCCAGATAAGGAAAAGCCGGGCGCTGTCGAACAACGGGCTGAGGTTGGGTGGGGAGAGGAGATGGGCTGGGGTGAACGGGGTAGGGGGAGATGGAGGTAAAAGGGTGGGGAGGGTGAAAGGGAGGGGTAGATCAGAAGGAAGGATTAAGCGGTTTAGGCGCCAGAAAATGGATGAGAACTTGTGTCTCCCGTCCCACGGGTAAGAGGAAAATGTCCCTTACCAAAGCGGCTCGTTCTGCATGAAAGATTTCTCATTCATGAGCACCGGCTAATACGTTATGGTTGGAGACCCGCTAAAGAGGGGGGCGGGCCGTCTTGTTCTTGCTTCGCCGTATCTTGCTGACAGGGACAAAACCGACTTTCTGTCGCTTGTTTCCATGCTGATGTGACCATATTCACCAGGAACAAAAGAAAAAGATGCACGACTATACACAACGGCTTGCTTAAATAAATATCGGGCCATTTGGTAATAAACTGGTCCCTAATGCTCACAGTGCTGGGTCATAGCATCACGCTGCTTTGTGAAATGACTGTTTATGTTTGCAATCTTTAATTATAATCAGGAAAATTGATAGTCAGCTTTAGTACGTTTTTCTGCTTCGTATACAAGCTATATCGCTGGAATCTCTACACGTCCTTGTCGGGGCCTTTTGTGAATTAGAGCCGCGCTACGGGTGTAAAATACGATCTACTTAAACTGGTCGGGCTCTGGTGGTGCTCTTAGGGATGGTGACGCAATATATATATCTATCTGGCATACAGACGCTAGGGACGATGGTGTTTTATGGGGAATGTGTACAGGTTCAACCCTAAGAGTCTATGGGATGCTGTGAAATCATTGCTGCGTTTTACGACACAGACCTTTATGTTTCATTCCTGCTGCTATGTACACTTCCTGCATGTAAACCCTGTCTGTGTCCCCGGAGACGTTCCACCAGTATACTTTTACACGAAACCAATATTCGTTTGATTTCAAGTGCTAACAATACGCCTTGGTTATCCTTTGTAAAGCGGATCAACTTGAATCTGGTCTGTTGGTTATCGGGATGTTTAACTGGTTTATGGTATTCTAGCTTGTTAGGCTGAATCTTATTCAATATTTGAATTTTACAGTTTTACAGTTTCACCTTGGTTATCCTTTGTAAAGCGGATCAACTTGAATCTGGCCTGTTGTTTATCGGGATGTTGATGGTGTTCTTGCTGCAACGGACCTTTGTCAGACTGGATCGTATTCAGTTTTCGTTTGAGTTCCACTTTTACAGTTTTATCTCGATTATCCTTTGTAAAGCGGATCAACTTGAATCTGGCCTTTTGTTTATCGGGATATTGATGGTGTTCTTGCTGCAACGGACCCTTTTTGGGCTGGATCGTATTCAATATTCGTTTGATTTCCAGTTTTACAGTTCGGGATGCTTAACTGGTTGATGGTGTTCTGGCTGCAACGGACCCTCGGTAGGCTGGATCTTATTAATCCGGCATTTCATTTACTCGACCACAAATTGACTGTTATAACAATGTCGGTTAAACAGAAAAGTCGTTCACACCGGCAGAAATATAGGCATAATTAATATGAATAACGAATATCCAAAGGAAACAATGTTTTGAAATCTCAGCTGGGTGTGACTTTTATATCTGTTGGTGTAACTGGCGTTTTTGAAAGTCAAAAGGACTGTAAGCATGAGATGTCTTGAATGAACATGTGGCCGTCGCATTTACAAGCTTCTGCTGAACGAAACACACTTTGGTTAAAAGAGAAAAATAATCCGGATATATATTGCGTTTAGTGACGTACGATGTCGATGTATGCCCGGTACTGTGTACCACATAACGTATGATACTGTATGCGTGTGTTGTACAAGGACCGTACGTTTTATCGGGTCCATGTACAGTGGGTGTTTAGTTTTACGCCTCACTCAGCAATATTCCAGCTATATGGCGGCGGTCTGTCAATAATCGAGTCTGGACTAGACAATCCAGTGATCAACATCATGAGCATAGATCTACGCAACGCTTTATTGTCCGTATCCATGTGAACATGTACCGTACGTTTTATTGTATGTATGTGTAGTTACTTGTAGCGTACGTGAGTAAGTACGGTCAGTAATTATTGTACCATGCGCCATACTTTATATAGCATGTGTGTATAGTACCATTAACTGCGCATGATACGGTCAGTAATTATTGTACCATGCGCCATACTTTATATAGGATGTGTGTATAGTACCATTAACTGCGCGTGATATGTACACGTATTGGCATTACCATTTAGTATACGTTAAACTGCCTGTATGCGTTATATCATGTACCGTGTGATATATAACGTTGGTTGTATATCGTTGTTGTATCGTCATTATAAACAATACACACGTCTTATAACATTTTGTATCAACTGCATACACATTTCATTACAATGGTTCCATGAGCAGAGTTACTTCCCTTGGTCATGTCAAATCGCGTGTTCGAATCCAGGCTTCGCCTCTATAAAGGTCTGACAGCACCATACCAGTGCCCGTTGGTTTGCTAAGACGTAAGGTGGTGGGGTAGCCTAGTGGTTAGAGCGTTCGCTCGTCACCCCAAAGGCCCGGGTTCGATTCCTCACATGAGAACAATGTGTGAAGTCCATATCTGGTGTCCCCCGCGGTGATATTGCTGGAATATTGCTAAAAGTGCCATAAAAGCGAACACACTCACTAACTAAATAACTCCATTCGACTGTACTTCAAGTTTTGTCCTAAATGAAGCTGACACACTGTGATATTACTCTCAGGTTAAGGGGGACGGTTGGGTAGCCTAGTGGTTCAAGCGTTCGCTCGTCACGCCGAAGACACGGGTTCGATTCCCCACATGGGTACAATGTGTGACGCCCATTTCTGGTGTCCCCCGTCGTGATATTGCTGGAATATTTCTTAAAAACGGCGTAAAACTAAATTCACTCACTCACACACTCACTCACTCAGTTAAGGCTCTATTCCAACCATACCATACACCAGGTTTCCTTAGCCCCACAGCATGCACCACTCTTCCCCCCCACCCTTCCCCGCCCCTGCAACCCCTTGCACGCCGCCCCGCTCCGAGCTCAGATACCTCACAATACCACAGCAGCGTTTATCCGAAAATAAATATTGATTTTTATTTTTATAATTTTTTTCTTGTTTGTTTGTTGACACATCTCACTTTGTTAGTTTGGAATGGCGACCTGTCTCGCCCTTCGCGGAGCCCAGTGTTGGACTAGCGGCGGCTCTCTCAGCCTCACTGTTTGATCCAGCTACATCGCCAGCAGCCTGCATCCTAAGCTGGAGCCACAAAGCTTGTGTTAGTGGATGGAGAAGGCCACGTAACTCTTAGGTAACGCCAATGGGCAGACACGGGAGAACGCTGTCTCGGGAAGGACTGGGAAAGGTAAGCGAAAGGGAAAGGGGATCGCCGGCGTCATGAACGCTGTCTGGACGTGGGGGGAACGAGTGACGTGGATGTTGAGACGGAGGTGACTGTGTAAAGGGACGAGTGTCTCGTGTGTTCACGAGATGTCAGCTGGTCGGGGCCGTGTGATGAGGCGAGGACTGAGGAAATGGATGCGTTTTTGGTGACGATACGGCGTTACTTTAGTGCTTTCTGATTGTGATTTGAAATGGAATACCGTTAACTTTGGATATGAAATCATCGCGAGACTTTGGTGAAGTTTGGTTATATAAAACAATTACCCTCGTATTACTGATAACGGACCCGTGAAGATCCGGGTGAGAACTGGTCTTCATCAACCCATACTTGTCGTGGGAGGCGACTAACGGTATCGGGTGGTGGGGCTAGCTGACTTGGTTGACACATGTCATCGTATCTGCGTAGATCGATGCTCATGATGTTGATCACTGGATTGTCTGGTCCAGACTCGATAACTTACAACTGGATTATTGCTGAGTGCCTCGTGAACCAACCAATACGCAATTATACATTGTTGAAGTATTTTCAGATTTCCAGACGTTATTCACTGCAAATCACAAGAGGAATTCGTCGGGTTGTGTGTGAGTGAGTGAGGTCGGTTTAAACAATGTCACTTTAAACAATATTTTCGCTGTGTCTTCCTGTCACCGCCAGTGAGGAGAAAGTCGTAGTCGTAGACGTAGACGTTTACCGATCTTATGAAAGCCACAAACACATGTACGAATCGGGGCGAATGTGGCATTCGATCCGAAGACAAGCGATCCTTGCACAGTGAAGGGAAATGACTCGATTTGCGGCTCCTTGGACAAGTGCACCAGAGGTGTCTCTTGTGTCCGGATAAAAAGGTATTCTGGGTACCGTGCCCCACGTGCATGGTTATGTGGTAATAAGCGGATCCTGGTACGCTAGGTGGGATAAGATAGTTACCACATCTAAATGTAGAATCTGCAAGTTCAGTGCACGTACTGACCAGGCAGAATAAACAGAGCTGGTGCCGTACGGTACCGTACAGATGGGTACACATGACGTATACGTGGTGTATTGATTGCACACTTGTTGGCTGGGGTTTGTTGTTTTACGCCGCACTCAGCAATATTCCAGCTATATGGAGGCGGTCTGTAAATAATCGAGTCTGGACCAGACAATACAGTGATCAACATCATGACCATCGATCAACGCAGTTGAGATACGATGACAAGTGTCAACCAAGTCAGTGAGCCTGACCACCCGATCCCGTTAGTCGCCACTTACGACAATCATGGGTTGATGAAGACCAGTTCTAAACCGGATCGATTGCACGCAGGGCCTGGCGTGACGTATCGATGGGATGTGGCAACATAAGTCGGGGTATAATGATGCTGACGTTCACAACACACTAGACTAACATCTAGTCTCTAAAGTGAGGTGAGGTGAGGTGAAATTGGGTTTAACGCCGTGCTTGAGAATATTTCGCTCATATGACGACGTGCATGCGTGTGTATGTGCATGTGCGGCTGCTTGTACTAGCCCAGACTGAAGCTGGTTTTATAGTGCTAGCCCACTGAGATACCATGCCGCAGTCAAGCATGAATACCCCACTCAGACACATTATACTGACTCCGAGCAGACCAGTCCTTGTTGTACCCATTAATGCCGAGCGCCAGGCAGGGACCAACAAGTACCATATTTTAACGTCTTTTGGTTTGACGCGGTCGGGGATCAAACCCGCGACCTTCCGCTCTCCGGGCGGACGCTCTAACCACTACACCACGGAGGCGGTCCGTCTCTAAAGTGAACATACTTTACAGAATAAAACGGTTTTATGAATAAAAATAATAAAACATAATGAAAAGGAACCTATTTTCTGAAACTTTGGTAATCTAGACTTGCATGGGCTTTCTTGGATATATTTGTTTCAGGTTCTGTATGGCAGACTAACAGCATACGTCCAAACCCACAATAGAAATACAGATACTAGATAATAATTTGGATAAAACAGGATTCCAAACCCACTATCATCGAATCCTGATACAGAAAACGGACGTAACTCAGTTGAACGATCTTATCATGGAGACACCCGTTTCACTCTCTACGGATGCATCTGGTGCCTAAACTCTGGGGAGTCATCCAAGTTCTGAAGGATATTAGAGGTTTTTACCGAATGAAAAAAAGACATAAAAAACTGATATTAGACTGAAACATGTAATAAAACGTCTTTTGTTTCTGGTCTAGCAGTCAAAGAGCTGTAAGGTTACTGAACAGTTCAACGCCTCTGAGAAGCGTTTACAAAGTCAGTGGGTGCAAGTATTTTCAAAGAACAGAAAAAACTCCTTTTTTCATTGAATGACACAATAGATAAACCATCAACGCTTGAGGCAGGAGAGGCCGAAGGTCGTTCTAGTGGTTGCGTTTTTTCCGTTTCTTTTTGTATTTTTTGTTGTAAAAAAGTGAATCGTCTAATACTCAAACAATACAATAGCTGCCTTTTTGCCATAGTGAAAAGAAGCACAAAGTATTTTTTAAAGGACAGTTGTTTACATAATTGACAACATCCAAATGAAACATAAATTAGGAGAAGAAACCCTTCGTTTCAGTCAGTACTATTTGTAACCGACGAGTGAACTAGAAATATAAAATGACATAACTTAACCAGTCTATGGAAGTTATTTCCACCAGAAAGTGAGAAAGCAAATGTTCTCCGTAACATCCTGCATTATTTATTCCCGCTGTAGAATAATGATATGTTCATTATCGAATCTGTGACACACAAACATGTGGTTGATAGCCTGAGCATCCCTCCAAGTTGCCAGCTTCCAATGACACACAACCACCTAAACCACATATTCCTTTACTGGCCGGTCTAGTAGGTTTGCTTAATCTCTGGCTGTAACCACTCTCGAGCCTAGGCCCAAATACCTTCCCTATTCTCAGATACCTTCACTAGACTCAGATACCTTCCCTAGACTCAGATACCTTCCCTAGGCCCAAATACCTTCCCTAGACCAAAATACCTTCCCTATTCTCAGATATACCTTCTCAGATGTCATCTTTAGACTCAGATACCTTCCCTAGACACACTACCTTTTTCTCAGATGACCTACCTTCCCTATTCTCTTAGACTCAGATACCCTTCCCTAGACCTCAGGTACCTTCCCTATTCTCAGATACCTTCACCTCAGATACCTTTCCCCAAATACCTTCCCTCTGACTCAGATACCTTTCTCTACCTTCCTCAGATCACCTTCCCTCTAGACTCAGATACCTTCTCAGATACCTTCCTATTCTCAGATACCTTCACTAGACTCAGATACCTTCCCTTGACTCAGATACCTTCACTAGACTCAGATACCTTCACTAGACTCAGATACCTTTCCTAGGCTCAAATACCTTCCCTAGACTCAGATACCTTTTGCCAAGCTCAGATAGCTTCCTCAGATACCTTCCCTAGGCTCAGATACCTTCCCTAGGCTCAAATACCTTCCCTAGACTCAGATACCTTCTGTAGACTCAGATACCTTCCGCAGACTCAGATACCTTCTCTAGGCTCAAACACCTTCCCTAGGCTCAAACACCTTTCCTAGGCTTAAATACCTTCCCTAGACTCAGATACCTTCGCCAAGCTCAGATACCTTCTCTAGGCTCAAACACCTTCCCTTGGCTCAGATACCTTCCCTTGGCTCAGATACCTTCCCTTGGCTCAAACACATTCCCTAGGTTTAAATACCTTCCGTAGACTCAGATACCTTCTCTAGGCTCAAACACCTTCCCTAGGCTCAAACACCTTCCCTAGGCTCAAATACCTTCCATCGGCTCAGACACATTCCCTAGGCTCAAATACCTTCCCTAGGATCAAATACCTTCCCTAGGCCCAGATATCTTCCCTAGGCTCAAACACCTTCCCTAGGCTCAAATACCTTCTGCATGCTCAAATACCAAAAGATGTTACCTATTAGTAACCCCCACACCCCACGATGTCATCAACAAACCCAACATGTACAACACATACTGGCTGTGTTGATGAAAACTGTCAATTACATGTTCGTCATCAAAGAAGATAAAAAAATAAAACCCGTTATCACGCCAAGACGTCCACCAAGTTTGAGTGTCTTTGTGAAAATATAACGTGAACAAATACAGTATATCGATAAGTTCTTCACCAAGCCAACACAAGCTCTACAGCCCTAACGCGAAATATACATCTTAACCAGCTGTTCCATTGTCACGGAATTGGATATACTCAGCAAACAAGAAAACTAACCTTAATCAATTTCTGCACTTTTTTATGGTAAATTATATGTGTTTAAAGGACTTGCTACGTGGAATTAAACGACAGTAAATCAAACATCGATAGCAGGCAAGGAAAATGAACACGAATGTAATTGACATGTGACGCTTTTAAAAGTACTTATAGATTCCACATTCGTTAAAATTTGATTTTTGAAGTTAAGAAATATGCATGTATGCATCTGTCTGTCTGTGTGTCTCTCTCTCTCTGTGTGTGTCTCTGTGTCTGTGTGTGTAATTGTAATCTGTCTCCCAGACATTAAGTAAAAATAACAAAAAAGGAGTCAATTCAAGTTTAGAATAATTGGGTGTGGACTGGAATTAAAGACTGCTCTGGGTTCAGTGGATTTTATTCATTATTTCGCTTATTAATTATATTACAATAACTATTGCTTGGATTTAATGTCAGACGGCTAGTGGTACGTTATTTTCTGAGGAGTTGTACGTTAAGGCAGTGTATGTATTTTTCAAAACCGATAGGGTAATAATCGAAATAACAACGAAATAGCAGAAACGTTGTTCTACAGAAGAAGAAGAAGAAGAGTGAGTGAATGAGTTTAGTTTTACGCCGCACTCAGCAATATTC